CCCCCCCCCCCCACACCCCGGCTGCTTCCGTGCTGTGTGTAAATCAAGCAGGTGATCACGTCGAACCCTCTGCTCGAGAGCTTCGGCAACGCGAAGACCCTTCGAAACGACAACTCTAGCCGCTTCGGCAAGTTCACGGAGCTGCAGCTGGACTCGAGGTGCCGCCTGGCGGGGTCCCAGAGCAACACCTACCTGCTGGAGAAGGTCCGCGTCGTGTCGCACGCCAGGGGAGAGCGGACGTACCACATCTTCTACCAGGTGTGTGACGTGTGCTTTGCTGTCGGAAATTCCGGAGACTTTCGTCGTCGTCGTCGTTATAATGTGCGTCCCTGCTCTTAAGCAAGGCTGCGACGGGCAGCGTCCGGTGTTGTCCACAAGCGTGGGGCCAATGTACCATGTGTTTTGTCTTCATTAGATCCTTACGAACATTTTGGTGAACGTTTTATGCATAAGGAGACTGTCGATCTTCATGTTGCTCGAATCTTGTCTTGTTGTGGCCTAGAGAGGTCCCGTCCTTGGTGATTTAGGCATCTTGTATGTGTTGAGTATTTGGTCTTCAGCCACTGCTGTCGTCTGGTAACATGACGTTCATGCACGCAAAACTGTTAACTGTCGTTGTTGTTGCTGTTGTTACTGTTGTTGACGTTGTTGCCCGATGGTTGTTGATGATTCTGGTGCTGGTGTTGGTGCTGGTGCCATCTCTGTCGTGTTCGTCGCTAAATTTTGCATGATGTTTTGGACGTTATCATCGTGATGAACAGCTTCTGGCAGCACCGGAGTCTGAGAAGAAGCGCTACGGCCTGGAAGGGCAGGGGAGCGCCTCCTTCCGATACACCAACATGGGAGGGGACCAAAAAGGTACAATACACCCCTTTTACCTGCACCCCCGAGAGGAGTGCCGAACCTTTCTCGCGGTCAGGCTGCATGAAGCCTAGCAAACAACTCACCAGGAGGCGTTCTGGTACATGGCATGGCATACCCCACTGGGTTCCCATCGAGGAGGGCGTGGCGCGTGGACCTATGTAATGCCTTCGTTGACTGAGAATGGACGAACTAGAGGCATTTATCTTCCTGTTGTGTGTCGTATTGCTTGTGAACAGGCTCTCTTGTCCTACGCATATAGATCATCGTTGCTCCAGAACAGACGGCCTAGAAGCCTCGAGTCCTCCTGCCCTGCTGTACGCATGTCCTTGTTGGTGTAAATGGGTCAAGACGCTTTTTCTGTTGCCTTGTGTACTCGTAGATTAATAAGCACAGACGGATAATGAGCTTTTATTTTTCTCTCGTCATTGATAATTTCAAACCCATTCATTCCTGTGAACAGGTGTGATCGAGGGCATGTCGGACGGTGACCGTTTCCGGCAGACCTCGGACGCTCTGGACATCATCGGCATGGCTGAGAAGGAAAAGTCAGAGCTCCTCTCGGCTGTCTCTGGAGTGTTGCACCTAGGACAGGTAAAACAGGCATCCCTGTTTGCCCCTTTTTTGTGGTGTCCTTTGCCCTTTTTGTCTTGCCCACCCGATCAAGAAGTTATCGAATCTACACCATCAAGAATGTTCCCAAATCCTCAAAAGTATACTCCAAGCAGAATGTACGATACAATGAAATAACCACCCACCCCTTTCAGTGTTGCGATGCACGTTGGATATGTTTGTTTTTTTCGTAGAATAAGGCTGCTTAACGGGGAAACACTTGGGGGGCATTGGGCATATTGGCGTACGTCAGCCACGGCTTTCCCGCAGTGCGTGTTTGTTGTTCCCGTATGTTTCCCCGCCCATCCACCCACCTCGCCCCTTCCCTCTCTCTCATTTTCCTCTCCCCTCGATCTCCCCCCTTGTTCGTCTCTCTTTCCTCTGTTTCTCCCTCTGATTTCCTTCTCTGATCTCTCGTGTGGTACGCTTTCGGCTGTCTCCTCCTGCCGCCCCCCCGTCGTTCCGACCAGATCGCTTTCGTGGAGAAAGCCAGCGACAGCGGGGCACACGAGTGTGAGGCGCGCGACCCCGAGAAGCTAGTGGCACCAGCAACGATGCTCGGCGTGACGCCCGGCGATCTAGGGCAGCACCTGACCCACCGCTCCGTGAAGGTGGAGGGAAAAACGATCAACGTGCCTCTGTCGCCCGCGGCAGCGACGGATAGCCTTGACGGTCTCGCCAAGGAGATCTATTGCAGGTGAAGGCGCCCGTCTGCTGTTGGTGTTGTTGTTGGTGATTGTTTTGTTGTTGCCGTCGTTGTTGGTGTTGATGGTGGTTGTTCTTTGGCGATGGCGTTTGGTGGCTGTGGTGGTTACAGGCAGAGTCTGTTGTTGTCATTGTTGTTGTCATTGTTGTTGTCATTGTTGTTGTCATTGTTGTTGTCATTGTTGTTGTCATTGTTGTTGTCATTGTTGTTGTCATTGTTGTTGTCATTGTTGTTGTCATTGTTGTTGTCATTGTTGTTGTCATTGTTGTTGTCATTGTTGTTGTCATTGTTGTTGTCATTGTTGTTGTCATTGTTGTTGTCATTGTTGTTGTCATTGTTGTTGTCATTGTTGTTGTCATTGTTGTTGTCATTGTTGTTGTCATTGTTGTTGTCATTGTTGTTGTCATTGTTGTTGTCATTGTTGTTGTCATTGTTGTTGTCATTGTTGTTGTCATTGTTGTTGTCATTGTTGTTGTCATTGTTGTTGTCATTGTTGTTGTCATTGTTGTTGTCATTGTTGTTGTCATTGTTGTTGTCATTGTTGTTGTCATTGTTGTTGTCATTGTTGTTGTCATTGTTGTTGTCATTGTTGTTGTCATTGTTGTTGTCATTGTTGTTGTCATTGTTGTTGTCATTGTTGTTGTCATTGTTGTTGTCATTGTTGTTGTCATTGTTGTTGTCATTGTTGTTGTCATTGTTGTTGTCATTGTTGTTGTCATTGTTGTTGTCATTGTTGTTGTCATTGTTGTTGTCATTGTTGTTGTCATTGTTGTTGTCATTGTTGTTGTCATTGTTGTTGTCATTGTTGTTGTCATTGTTGTTGTCATTGTTGTTGAAGTGGTGGTGGTGACTGCCGTTGTGTTCCCTGTTTTTTGTTGTGTGGTGGCATCGGTAGTGCTCTCGTTGTCCGCGAAGGGCCCCCACCGGCCTTCCCATGGATTTACTGAACTGGAGGTGACACCACAAACCCCCTACAAAACGCTCCTCTGCGATAACACAGGGTGTTCGACTGGTTGGTGGCCAAGATCAACGACTCGATGCGATGCTCCGACGGCAGCAACAAGGGAACCATCGACCTCCTGGACATCTTCGGCTTCGAGACCTTCCAGCACAACAGCTTCGAGCAGTTCTGCATCAACTACGCGAACGAAAAGCTACAGCAAAAGTTCACGCAGGATGTCTTCAAGAACGTTCAGGTGCGTACATACGTACCTACGCGAAGAATCAGGAATATGAATGTTTCCGCATGCCGTGGAGTAGGGTGCGTTAGAAAGCGCAGTTGCTTTGACCGATCCTCCAGGCCCGATTCACTCTACAGCACAAATGATGAGTGTTGCGCCGAAAATGGCGGGAGGTGTTGGGACCCCCTCGTCGAGAGCTTTCCGGCGGCGGTGATTTGATTTTTTTCACATCTTTGTTGTGTTATATTCGACTTGTTTTTTTCCAAACGTGTCTCACACTCTCGCATGTTTTTGACCCAACGAGGGACGATCAGGACGACTTTGATTGTCAGAAAAACAGACGAGAAATAAACACAAGACCTTGTGCGGAAACCAAGCCTGCCTGTGTACCACGTGGCCAACGTTCCAGCGTGTGTACTCCACACTTTAAAAGTACATGATACCTGTTGCCGTATGTTCTGTCGTTTATCTCGTACTTCTGAGAAAAAGATGAACAAGTAGTGGCAATGCCAATCCAGTGTAGGTCCCTTTTTTGTTTCTGTCAACTCCTACATGCACGTATGGGCTCATGTGTTTCTCCGGAAGTGTTACGTCTGTGCCTTTGTTTAATTCATTTTGTATCAATCTGGACCTCTTTTTTGTTACTCTTCACTTTTGCCCCGTGGTCAGGTGGAGTACCAAGAGGAGGGCATCCCGTGGTCACACATCGACTTCCAGGATAACGCGGCGGTGTTGGGTATGATCGAGGAGCCACGGAGAGGCCTGCTCTCTCTACTCGACGAGGAGTGCATGCTCCCCCAGGGGACGGACGAGGCCTACGCTTCGAAGGCAATCAAGGTGACTGCCTGCCTATATAGCTGTCGGTGTTAATCGTTGGGGTTGATGAGTGTTGCGGTACGAACAAGGCCTACGCTGCCAAAGAAATCAAGGCGCCTTCCTGCCTCCCTGTCGGTGTTACAGTATTGTCGATGATAAAGTGATAATGGTTGCCGCAGTAGAGGCTTCGTCCCAAGGCAATCAAGGCTCCTGCCTCGCAGTCGTTGTTGCTGTTGTTGTTGATCTTGAGGTTGATGCGTGTTGTAGACCTACAGTGTTGTTCCAGGCCTTGAAGGAGCCTCGCTGTCGGTGTTGGCGTTGATGAGTGTTGTTTTGATGCTTGCTTAGTCATGTTGGTGTTGGTATCAGTGTTGTTATTTCGGATGCACGATTCTTTTTTGTGTGTGTTTGTTCGTATCGTGGTTGTTTTGATGGCGTTGATGCACGTTGGTGTTTCTGCGATCTGTTGGTATTGGTGGTATCGGCGTTATCATCTTCACGGTTAACCTCTGTTTTATTTTGTTGTTTTTCAACTTCCCCGGACAAAACGCACAGGCGTACAAGGACCACGAGAACTTCGGCAAGGACCGCTTCGCGACCAAGCTGGAATTCACGGTCCACCACTACGCCGGCAGAGTAGTCTACAACACCGGGGGCTTCGTGGAGAAGAACAAGGATCAGCTGCAGGTGCCCCCGTCGCAGCCGTTGCCGCTCGATGGCGTACCTGTGGTGGTGTTTGCCCTCGCTTTGCGGACGTAGGATGTTTTGTCTGTTTTCGCTTGGTCTTCTCCAGACGGGATAATCACTGTTTTATGCGCACCACTCCCGCGTACGTGCGTGTGTTTTTTGCTGTCCGCCGACCCCCCGATAAATAATGTACACTAAACATACCGTACTTCATGAGATTGATTAGCACTGACCGCGCTAGCCGGCTGACCAATGTGTGTATGTTTCTTTGTTTCTTCCTGTAGTCTGACCTGGTGCAGATGCTGTCGCAGTCCACCAATGGCGTACTCGGTTCCTGCTTCAAGAGCCAGGCAAAGCCCTTGCTATCCCAGGACTCGAACGGCCCCAACAGCCGACAACGCAAGGGCTCACTCATGCAGGTGAGTTTTCGCCTGTTTTTATTTCTTATCCGATGTTTTGGTCTTGTCCTGTGACTGAGCGCTACCACTTGTTTGGGAAGCAGTTATTTTATTGTCTTGCGTGCACATATAAGGCGGTTTCTTATAAGGTTCGGAAATCCTGTTCAGGAATGTGTAATTTCTCATTCAGGAAAACAAGAACAAGGTGTCGGTCAAGACGCTTCTTGTAGTGCAGTCGTATTTTTTATTGCACAGCTGGCTGGGAATGCGGCCGTTTGTGTTTTTTCATTTGCTCCCCCCGTACCGGCTCATATCTGGTCGGTTTTGTTTTTCGGTGATCTCTGTGCACGGCGCGACACAACAGAAAAAGTATAGTCATCCGACGGTAGCTGTGCGTATGGTGCCTCATGTGGGGTGGTTGCTACAGACCTTGAGGCGCTGGGTGGTTGAGAATTCAAGTTGGCGAGAGGGGCACCTGCTGTTGGAGAAAGACCCGCCGCTCGAACAAACAGCGTGCGACAGATTTTTGCTCCATCACAGCCTTGGTCTCGTGGCGACCCCTCTTCACTAACGAACCAGCAGATACCACAAGGCCATCCGCCCGTAGCTGTGTGTATGTTGGTTCTCGTGATGTGGTTTGCAGAGACCATAACGCGCGGGGAGGCTGGGCAAAGAAGTTGGCGACGATCGACTGACTGCTGTGTCATTTTTCATCGTCATGATGCCGCTCACTGCTGTACAGGTTTCTCGGCGTGTCACCGGTGGCGCTGTAGCTATCCCTCTATATTGACCGAACCAACAGTAATGACACAGCCCCCTGCAACAGAGAGCAGTTGATGGAGCTCACATCCTCTCAAGTTTCAGCAGCAGGGGTGATGTAGCGAGTGAGAACATGAACATTTGTCCATCGATGTGTGTGTGTTGGGATGATGCCGCGTCGGTTTGAGGGTCTGAGCAAGCGGTATGTGTGTCAGCTGGCCAACATTGTGCTTTGAGCGCAACTGGCCACACGGCAACCTCATATAAACAAACCGCTGGGATGGCAGGACAGTGCTCCACGGANTAATGACACAGCCCCCTGCAACAGAGAGCAGTTGATGGAGCTCACATCCTCTCAAGTTTCAGCAGCAGGGGTGATGTAGCGAGTGAGAACATGAACATTTGTCCATCGATGTGTGTGTGTTGGGATGATGCCGCGTCGGTTTGAGGGTCTGAGCAAGCGGTATGTGTGTCAGCTGGCCAACATTGTGCTTTGAGCGCAACTGGCCACACGGCAACCTCATATAAACAAACCGCTGGGATGGCAGGACAGTGCTCCACGGATTGGTCGGAGCCCTTGATGAGCTCACCACGACCAGTGCTTGCTACGCGATCGATGGTTGTGTCCGTGTGGTGTGCATTTTCAAACGCAAAAATCAAGCGCGCCATCCGACCGAGAATTGTCATCATTTCCAAACGCCCGCCCGGTTGAAAACGGGAATAAAAAATGTGCAGCCGGAAAAGTGTAGTTTCTGATGTTAAAATCAACAGTTTTTTGTCCGGAATCAGAATGACACATTTTCGACCGACCAAAAACGATCTATGAGAAACCGCCTCAGAGTATTGTTTGTTTTGCCGTCAGGATTTGGTCATTTCTACTCTATATCGCTGTATGCTCTTGGTTGGTCACCATCCTGCGTTGCATGGAAGCATGTGATGTCCGCCTAAAACAAGAGAGAATACCAGCAACATTATTGAACATTTTGTTGAAGCTATTTGTACAGTATGGTGTGGCATTAGTATTCACGAGTATGCAGTACAGCCCCCATTTCTTTCTTTCGGTCTTCTCATTCCCTGAATGCTGTGCCGTCGTCTTAATTGTTTCCTTCTTCGTCCGCATGCAACAGGAGTCCCTCGGATCCAAGTTCAAGCGGCAGCTGCACGCCTTGATGGCGGCCATCCAGAGGACTGAGGTGCAGTACGTGCGGTGCATCAAGCCGAACGCGAACAAGTCGAAGGACGAGCTGAACTGCCTCATGGTGGTGGAGCAGCTAAGATGTGCAGGAGTCGTGGAGGTGAGGAGGATGGTCTCGTTGAAAATTGGTTGTTTTGCTGCTGCTGCCTTTGCTGCCTTTGCTGCCTTTGCTGCTGCTGCTTGTTGTTTTTTCTGCTTCTGCCGTTGTTGCTGATGTTGCTGTTGGTGATGTTGTTGGCTCCTGGGTGTCTTGTTAGGTCCTCTTTGTGTCTGCATCCCCCCGCGTGTCGCTGGCTGTCGTACATGATGTTGTGTCGAAATTCCGCAACCACAGCAGTCTATTGCAAGCATATGTTCCTGGGGCCACGAGCGTCGTACCCGTTCGTCCGCTCTTTCCTTACAGTTCCTTGTCGCTTCCCACCCATCCCTCCGTCCCCTATTTTTGTTCCTCTTCCGTTGTCATGTTAAACAAGAATCACATGTACCCCACACCTGGTGAAATCAGACCCTAACAACCCCTTCACCCCTCCCACCCCGCATCCCTCCGCCCCCTATTATTCGTTCCTCTTCCGTTGTCATTTTTGAAAATCACATGTGCAACTCACTCGTGAAAATCGTGCAAACAGGCGATTCGAATCTCGCGAGCAGCGTACCCCAACCGCATGATTTTCCGCGAGTTTTCTCGACGCTTCGAGGTGATGGCGAACAAGGTTACGAAGGGGGGCGGCGGCGCTAGCAAGGCTGCCAGGGAGAAGGAGGCGGCGGCATTTGCCAGGTATATGCATATGTACCTAGTCCACTTTTTTGCTTGGTTTTGGTCTATTCCTCTGCCGGGACAGCGTTTTTTCTCACACGTTTGCCTGCATGGCACTCAGAGGACCCGTCGGTACAGTACCCGTTGCGTATCGGGCTCGCTGGACATCGGTGGTGCACGTGATGGCCGCCCAAAAGTCGCTGGCACCGGCTCAATTCCAGGGGTCGCGAATCCGAACCAGAAATGGCTTCGCAGGATTTCCAAAACATTTCATTCATCCGCACAATAGGGAACCGTTGGTCTGATTTTTCGTCTCGCCGTACACACGTTCCCCACATCATGAGCAACGCCAAAACACAAGAGGGAGAGAGAGAGCAAGAGCAGCGGGTTACAGCAGTACGATCTGCGGCAAGGAGGCCGCTTCTCTATCGTATGTGTGCTTGGGACTTACCAGGCCAACTGCTGCACAGCAGACATCACGGACAAATAGGGAACGATACCGGCTCCAATACATTCCCGATTACCTGCTGGCGTATTTCGCAAAAGTAAATGACATGTACTTTCCGCCGAATGACCACAGAGATTCTGCGCAGAATGTTCCGAGCGATGATCGCACAAATACCCGCCGAAAAGCATCTAGGTGAAGAACACAGCAGCGGCAGTCTATATTTCAGCAGTAGCAGGATCTACGGCAACGACATCGCGAGAGCGCACACGAAGAGTAATGGCGAAAAAATATATATCCGCAAATTGATGCGAGGTTCTCTTGCGGGTAGTTTCCGAAACTAACGTGGCACTACCGGAGGAGGGTTGAGATATACAACGATGCAACCATTAAAGCAGGGGCCATGTGCTCTTGCATCGCCCCTGGGAGGCAAGTGCACCTACATCCCATCCCGAAAAGCCTTGTATGTACGTACGTACGCATTATTCGAAGCTTTTTTCATATTTAATTCGCATTCTTGCATCCCGTCCCATCCCATCCCATGCTTTTCCGTACGTGCATGATTTTCCCGTATCCACACCTGTTCCGGGGTTGCTGCAAACACTCGGTGTGGCACTCACAAAAGTTTCTCCTTCTTTCGTTCCTTCTTTTCTTTTATCTTCAAGACGGTCGGAGTCATCGCAGTGCAGGTTCATTCTGGAGAAGCTTCTGGGACGCGAAAAGGACAGCAAGTGCTGTCTTGGCAATACCAAGGTGGGGACAGGGAGAGTGTTGTTGTTGTTGTTGGCGGTGTCGGGAGCGTTTGTATGCGTAGTCGGTGTGTTCCATGTTGCCGCTGCTGTTTTTATTTATCGCCGTGCATTGCCCTAGGGTGGCAAGGCAGCTTAAAGGGAACCGAGGAAGTTTAAAAACGTCAAAATCCCTCGTGATTGTTACGTGCGATCAGGTCATCCTTCTCTCGTATGTCGCTTGGAACAACGCAGCCATAAGAGAGCTGGCATGAACTGAATCTGAAGCGTCACGGACACAGGTGTATTTCCGAGCTGGGGTGCTTGAGCAGATGGAGGAGGAACGCGGGAAGTTCGTTAGAGTGAAGGTGGTGACGGTGCAGCGGGCGCTCATGGGGAACGCCAAGCGCAGGCCCTACCTCAGGCTCCGGACCTCCGCGATAGTGGCCCAGAGGTTGTGGAGGTGAGATTTTTTTCGTGTTCATTTGTGTTGCTATCGGAGTCGTTGTCGTCATTGCCGCAGCTGCTGCTGCCGTTGCTGCTGCTTCTGCGGTTTGGTGGTTGCTGTCGTTGTCGATGTCTGTGCATGTGCTTGTTGCCGCCGTTGTTGATGTCTGCGAGGATGTTGCTGCTGCTGCTGCGGCGGCGGCGGCGGCGGCGGCGGCTGCGATGTGTGCTTGTTGTCCGTGACGATATTGCTGGTGTTGTGCTAGTGCTGCGGCTGCTGCATTTGTTTTTGCTGTTGCTGCCGATACTGCTGCTGTCGCTGCGATTTGGCTGTCGGGTGTCTCCGACGATACTGCTGCTGTTGCTGCTACCGATGCTGTCGTAGTTTTGGTTGTCTTCGGTGCCGTTGTTGTCGTCGTAGTCGCTGTTTTCCTCACCGCCTCGCCATTGTCGTTTATAAGCTCAATATTGTACCTACCTGTCAATAGGAGACACGTCGATCGACAGACGGCGAAGCGATTGAAGGTTGAAATAATAAAAAATCAGTGGTATGGTAAGTGCGAGCAAAGTCCAAAAAAGTTTTTTTTTTGTAACGTGTTGTATTTGATGTTAGTATACCCCCCCCCCCCCCCGTGTCAATAGGGGACACGTCGATCGACAGACGGCGAAGCGATTGAAGGTCGAAAAGGAGGAGCGGGAACGACGGGCGAGGGAGGAAGAGGAACGAAGGAGGAGGGAGGAGGAGGAGAGAAGGTTGGCCGCTGCCAAGAAGGCAGAGGACGAGCGGATTAAGATGGAGGAGGAAGAGCGCAAGAAGGTTCGTCGATAATGTATACTTTAAAGTATTGTTGTTGTTGTTGTTGTTGTTGTTGTTGTTGTTTTTCTTCACATTGAACTCGTGTCAGTTGCTAACCGAAATCTAGCAAAGACTCAGCATGACGTATACGAACAGCGCACGGTTTTGCACTAGGGATGTGAGTTTTGGGTCGAAAGGTGGCATGTAAAGAGTCAGCCTGTGACCACGTAAGGCGTCCGAGTCAGTCGGACCATTTTTTTCGACGAACACAACGACAAATCTCCATCGCCGTTGTATGTGCTGTATCACTAGCTGTGTAGGACCCTCTTGTGATGCATATATTATGTACGCCGAGGGTGTATTTTTTATCCGTCGTCTCCATGTGCCTTGTCTTTTGCTTATTTGGTCTTCCAGACTGCAAGCAGGGTTACTTATGAAAGTATTGCACGCACGGTTTCTACGTGGGGGGTCGCGTTGTAGGGTTGAAGCAACGCCACAGTTGAATGTAGAAATCCCCCATTTGCGAAAAAAAAAAAACGCAGGATACACGCAGAATCTGAAGCTTGTGATGTCAATGATTTAACTGTGATCGCGCGTTTCGCAATCTCGCGTTTCGAAAGAGAAACGTGTCGCAACAAAATAAATTCCGTACAAAAAAACGGTCGCCTGTTGTACATATGTTCCAATACATGAAACACAGGCTGCGAAGAAGGCGGAGAAGGCTGCCTCAGGCGGGGGTAGCTTGGTGGGGAAGCTGATCGGAGGGGGTAGTGGCGGCGGCAAGAAGGACAGGAGCAGCGGGGGAGGGGCAGGGGCGGGGGGGGAGTTCTCGCAGGATAGCCCTGTCGATAACGGCCATTCGGTGGGAGAAGAGAGAAGTGACAGAGTGAGAGAGCCATCCCCTATGTCTACCGTATATGACACAAGATAACACACCACCTTGACCAATGATCGAAGCTCGATTCTCAACTGCAGGAACAGTCACAGCGCCGAAAACGGCGGCGTTAAAACCGTCTCGTCGAGAGCTTTTCGAAAATGTATCGTTTCGTTTATGCATCCTCTTCGTCGTGGAGTAATCAAGCTTTGAAAATCGGTCCAGGGGGTGTGTTATCTTGTGTCATACACGGTATATCGCTGTGTCGTCCTCGTTGACTGTGTTCTTGTTGTCTATTTATATTTCGTTTTTTTTTGTGTGATCGACAATTGGTTTGGGCTGCTGAGGTTCTGTGGAGTTTAGCGGAGCATGCCGGCACTACCTGCCGTGCCCGCTCCCCCGCAACAACTACTACATGCCTCCCCCGGAATCCAAACCCCACCAACCCCGGCTTCGATCCCGCAGATTTTGGGCATCATGCCCGACTACGACTCGGACACCGACATGCCTATGGACATGCAAAACAAGTTCAAGTCAGGCTCGTCTTCCGGCGGCACCTTCTCCCGCTTCTACAGCGGGCACGGGGTCGCCGCGGGTGCGGAGGAGGGAGACGACGAGGGGGGAATGTCGGTCGGCCGCTACAACCCGCTTTTTCACAACGCGGTGAGGGGTCAGGTTGCTACCGTATTAACGAGGCCCGATTAAAATCAGAATCGGTTGCCTCTGTTGGCCGGAAAAAGTAGTCGGCTACGGGCTATGTACCATTTGATTTTTTGAATTTGAGTTTTGACTTGAGCAAGAAAAGTCCAGTCGTTTTGTGTTTTTAATGCTCGACCAATCAGGGCTCGTTCTTGTTGGTGTGTTGTGTTTCGAGTATCTTTGGCACCCCACATATGGGGAACACGGTCACCCCGGTGGTCTAGTGGGTAACTTCGCAGCCTGCTAAGGGCCAGGTCATGGGTTGGAGTCCCGGTAGAGTGAGTTTTTTCACACTAAATAAATCCTGGTCTAGGATGAAAGCGACGCGCTGCAAAGGTCGTTGTTAGTAAACCGTAATCGACTTCGTTAGTCGCGAGGGAAGGGATTGCTGTACCCTTCTCGCGATAAAAATACCGCAGGCATGAACCGCAGGAGGGGGTCCAGCCCCCCCTCCTATGTGGCCCCGGTTGGGTCGTCTAGCTAGTAGAAGTGGAGGATAGGGGCCAGAGGGGCAGACGACAGAGTCCAATGATGGGAGAAAAAAATATAAATATATATATATATATATATATGGGGGTTTACACGCCGTCTTTTCGTTGTAGTCTGCAGAATCCCTCTCCCCCGGTCGGGAAGAGACGCGAGGAAGCTGACATGGCAGTATCGCATGTGCGGGATGGGAGAGGAGCCGAGAATTGTATGGGAGGCGAAATGGGCAAACAAAAAGAGGAGTAGACAACCCACGGAATGGGTCAAGGTTGTAGAGGACGTATGGAAGGGGCTCGACATCGACGAAGATGAAACGCTGGAAACGGAGGGTCTACAGGGGTTCAAGGAGAAGATATCTGTTGCTTGCGCCGAGAGAGAAAAACAGAACCTAAGGAAAGGATCCAAGGATTAGGAGGGTCTAGAAGTGTACGGAATGTTGAAGGAAGGAACAGGGTTCAAGGATTACCTACATGGACCAATGGATGCAGGAATAAAGCTTCACGCAAAATTCAGGACCGGGGGCATAGGCCTTCGAGAACGTCGACGAAGACATAATACGGTAGACGACAAAGACGACGAGTCNGGTAGACGAGGAAGACGACGAGTTCAAATGTGATTGCGGCTTCGAATGCGAAGACCGTGTTCATGTAGTCGCGGAATGTCCGTTGTACAAGGAGAGGGAAGTGTACGTGACTGAGCTGGGGGAAATAGATGGGACGTACAGGGAGATGCTTGAGGCATGGAATAGAGAGGAAAGGACGGTAGCTGTAGTGGGGCGTAGGAGGTGGGTTGAAAAGACGGGAAGGGATATCGTTAGGATAGACAGACTAGGGAAGCATTTTGAGCCACCTTTGGCAAAGTAGAAAGGAACGATTGGCTATCGGTGATCGGTCCTGTGGGAACATTGCTCCGTCCTCTCGAGGACGCGTGGTCAATGGTCTAACCGCTAAGGCATGCAAAACATAAGAGTACGCCCCCCCCCTCCCCCTATTATTTGTTTTCTGTTTCGTGGGTATCTCCCTCTGTGCTTGTATTGCTATCGGCGAAATAGCTTGGTATGCGGACCAATTTTCCATATTTTGTGATAAAACCTTATGCTTGATTACCTCCCGCCCCCGTTGATGCCCCTACTTTCTTTCGCTTCTTGTGTGTTGCTGTCGCCGCAACCGCCGCTGGTCCTGATTCTGCCGAACTGCTGGCTTGTGTTGTTGTGTTTGTTCAGCAAAAGGGGGGCGAGAAGGGGGAGAAGAACTTCGGCATGCGCGTAGCGCAGGGAGGAAGAGAAGGAGGTGCGTCAAACGAATCGATACGGAGCGAAAGAAGACGACACGGACGCCCTCAAGCAATCAATCAACCAATTTATCAAATCAAACACCGCTTTTGTTTCCTGTGTGAGATACCCTCGTGTCTCTCGGTGGTCATGACTACAAGACTCACACAGTTGCTGAAATATTATCCCCTCTCCCTCCGCTCTGGGCCGGGGCAAGTCCACCGCCGATCGCCCACCTATGGCGCGCGTCTCGGGGATAACTCGAAGGGGTGTATCCCATATTTAATACCGGCGACTGGGACTTTTGCAGTTGCCCCAGGGTTGATCCCATGCCACACTTTGAAGTATCGGGACCATTGGGATGTTGAAATTTGTTTCCGAATGGCCCTTGTCCTCGCATCTCCAAACAGAGTGGTTTTTGCTGATGCTAGCGCCCGCCCCCCCCTCCAGCACCAGGCCCCGCCCCATACCTACCCCCTGCCCCCCTCGCCCTCATGCATGACAGACGCGGCACCCGGCTCGCCGCGAACAGCCCGGCGAAAGCGGTTCTTGGAATTTAACCCGAAGGCCCTGGAGGGGTTCATGAGGGTCGACATGCGCGGGTTCTTGACGCAGCCGGTACCTAGGAAGGGGGGCACCGTGAAGTGCTTCATCCGCAGGGAGAAGAAAGAGCTGGTGATTATTTTAGGATTAAGCCGGTTTCTTGTAAGGTTCGGAAATCCTGTTCAAGAATGTGTAATTGCCCATTCGGAAGAAAAAGAGCAAGGTGTCGGTCAAGACGCTTCTTATAGTGCAGTCGGATTTTTAATTGCACTGCTGGTTGGGAATGCGGCCGTTTGTGTTTTTTCATTTGCTCCCCCCGTACCGGATCATCATCTGGTCGGTTTTGTTTTTCGGGGATCTCTGTGCACTGAGCGACACGACAGAAAAAGTATACCGTAAATGACACAAGATAACACACCCGCTGGACCAATTTTCAAATCACTAGTTCTCAACAACACAAAGAGTCACGGCGTCGAAAACGGCGGCGTTGGAACCGTCTCGTCGAGAGCTTTTCAAAAATGTATCGTTTCGTTTATGAATCCTCTTCGTCGTGGAGTAATCGAGCTTTGAAAATCGGTCCAGGGGGTAAGTTATCTTGTGTCATATACGGTAGTCATCCGACGGTAGCTGTGCGTATGGTGCCTCATGTGGGGTGGTTGCTACAGACCTTGAGGCGCTGGGTGGTTGAGAATTCAAGTTGGCGAGAGGGGCACCTGCTGTTGGAGAAAGACCCGCCGCTCGAACAAACAGCGTGCGACAGATTTTTGCTCCATCACGGCCTTGGTCTCGTGGCGACCCCTCTTCACTAACGAACCAGCAGATACCACAAGGCCATCCGCCCGTAGCTGTGTGTTTGTTGGTTCTCGTGATGTGGTTTGCAGAGACCATAACGCGCGGGGAGGCTGGGCAAAGAAGTTGGCGACGATCGACTGACTGCTGTGTCATTTTTCATCGTCATGATGCCGCTCACTGCTGTACAGGTTTCTCGGCGTGTCACCGGTGGCGCTGTAGCTATCCCTCTATATTGATCGAACCAGCAGTAATGACACAGCCCCCTGCAACAGAGAGCAGTTGATGGAGCTCACATCCTCTCAAGTTTCAGCAGCAGGGGTAATGTAGTGAGCGAAAAAATGAACATTTCGTCCATCGAAGTGTGTGTGTGTTGGGATGATGCCGCGTCGGTTTGAGGGTCTGAGCAAGCGATGCGTGTGTCAGCTGGCCAACATTGTGCTTTGAGCGCAACTGGCCACACGGCAACCTCGTATTAACGGCTGGGATGGCAGGACAGTGCTCCGAGGGTTGGTCGGAGCCCTTGATGAGCTCACCACGACCAGTGCTTGCTACGCGATCGATGGTTGTGTCCGTGTGGTGTGCATTTCCAAACGCCCGCCCGGTTGAAAACGTGAAATAAGAAATGTTCAGCCGAAAAAGTGTAATTTCTGATATTATAAGAAACAGTTTTTTGTCCGGAATCATAATTACACATTTTCGACCGCCCAAGAACGATCTATAAGGACCGCCTTGTTGTTCCTCTTATTTTTTTGGGGGGGGAGGGCATCCCCACCCTAGAGTTGCTTTTTAGTGGTGGTGGGACGTGGAGATGACGTGTCGTTTGTCGCTGTTGCTGAGCAGAGCCGTTGGTGATGTTGGGTGTTCGTCCCACAGCAGTAGCTGGGGCTGATTCGAGGCCCTTGGGGGTCCCGGGCATGCTCCAGAGTCTGTGGAAGGAAATTTATCACCCGTGACTGCTGTGTGGCTGTGCGACCGCGGCTAGTGAACCTTATCGAGCGGACGTGAGGACCGGCGTCCAAAATCATGGGATGGCATGTTTTCGCGAAACTTGGGGGGGG